ATGGCAAATGTCAATATTTTATTCGTAATATAACATAGATGACAGATCAAAAGTTTAATCTGAGTAAATGTAACATTTTAAAGGAAAATATGTTGATTCAAAATTTCACAGTGTCAACAAATCCCAAAAAAGTTGGGACAAGTAGTAATAAGTGGCTGGAAAAAGGAAATTGAGCATATAACGAACAGCTGGAAGATCAATTAACACTAATTAGATCAACTGACAACATGATTGGGTATAAAAAGAGCTTCTCAGAGTGTCAGTGTCTCTCAGAAGCCAAGATGGTAAGAGGATCACCAATTCCACCATTGTTGCGCAGAACGATAGTGCAGCAATACCAAAATGGTGTTACCCAGCGTAAAATAGCAAAGACTTTTAAGTTATCATCATCAACCGTGCATAATATCATCAAAAGATTCAGAGAATCTGGAACAATCGCTGTGCGTAAGGGTCAAGGCCGTAAAACTCTACTGGATGCTCGTGATCTCCGGGTCCTTAAACGTCACTGCACCTCAAACAGGAATGCCACTGTCAAGGAAATAACAGAATGGGCTCAGGAATACTTCTGAAAGCATTGTCAGTGAACACAATCCACCGTGCCATCCGCCGTTGCCAGCTGAAACTCTACAGTGCAAAGAGGAAGCCATTTCTAAGCAAACTCCACAAGCTCAGACGTTTGCACTGGGCCAGGGGTCATTTAAAATGGATGTGGCAAAATGGAAGACTGTTCTGTGGTCAGATGAGTCACGATTTGAAGTTGTTTATGGAACACTGGGACGCCATGTCATCTGGACCAGAGAGGAGGACAAGGATAGCCCAAGTTGCTGGTGAAGATTCTTAGTCATCCAGGACATGATGAATTCAAAAAGTGTTCAATACAAAAATCTGCCAATCTACATATGTGTGTGTGTGTCTTATGTGTGTGTGTGTCTTATCTCACTCAGCCTTATAACCTGTATCTCTCACTCTCTGCTCTTTGAATTGAGAAAGCTCCTCGGATGAGGAGCGAAACGTCTTCTGTTACAAATAAAGTCCAGTTGTTTTTGTATTGAACGCTTTTTGGATAGCCCAAGTTGTTATCAACGCTCCGTTCAGAAGCCTGCATCACTGATGGTATGGGGTTGCATGAGCGCTTGTGGCATGGGCAGCTTGCATGTCTGGAAAGGCACCATTAATGCAGAGAACTATGTTCAGGTTCTAGAACAACATATGCTCCCATCTAGACGTCATCTCTTTCAGGGAAGACCCTGCATTTTTCAACACGATAATGCCAGACAACATTCTGCAGCAATCACAACATCATGGCTACATAGGAGAAGGACGCGGGTACTGAAATGGCCAGCCTGCAGTCCAGATCTTTCACCTATAGAGAACATTTGGCGCATCATAAAGAGGAAGGTGCAACAAAGAAGGCCCAAGACGATTGAACAGTTAGAGGCCTGTATTAGACATGAATGGGAGAGCATTCCTATTTCTAAACTTGAGAAACTGGTCTCCTCTGTCCCCAGACGTCTGTTGAGTGTTGTAAGAAGAAGGGGGGATGCCACACAGTGGTAAAAATGGACTTGTCCCAACTTTTTTGGGATTTGTTGACGCCATGAAATTTGGAAACAACAGATTTTTCCCTTAAAATGATACATTCTCTCAGTTTAAACTTTGGATCTGTGATTTGTGTTCTATTCTGAATAAAATATTAGATGTTGGCACCTCCACATCATTGCATTCAGTTTTTATTCACAATTTGTTTAGTGTCCCAACTTTTTTGGAATCCGGTTTGTACACTGCTCTCTTCCCTAGCTAACTGTAAGCTAAAGTATTTTGATTAGTAGTTGAGAAATTCAGCCTCCTTTTACTCTCACCTTGGCTAATAATTACACATGTTGCATAATGGAGTAAAAATATTAATTTGATTGCTGCACATCAAAATGTTGGGAATTGTATTACTTACACAAAGGATGCATTTAATTTAATTATTAAGAGGAATAACAACAATTAAAAGTTTGTAGATAGTTCAGCTGTAAATGTGTTAGAATGATGAACCAATATGCGTTTTCTTCTTTGGGAAGCAGTGGTGGCTTTAATCAGAGTAATGCTTATAGAGTATAATATTACAGATTAAACTACTGAAAGTATTGAAAGTTTTTCTGTGATAAACATAAAAACTAACATTGTATCCATATGACATAAAGAAAATTGGCACACTGTAAAAGTTTCAGTTCAGTTACTTAAAAACAAACAAAAAATTATTTAAAAAAAAAGCAATTAACTGATAAACTAGACCACTGCTGGTAATTACACAAGTCAGATAATCTAAAATAGAATGGTAGAACACATAAACAAGCATTTTGGGAGTTTTGCCATGGTAAAGGTCAAAAGGTCTTATCCTTCTACATGTTCACTTGGTTGAGATTTTGAGAATGAAATTTATTTACATGCAGATTTTTCTTTCTTCTGCCACTGTCTGTTATTTATTCTTGTATCTTTTCTCTTTTAATTATGATACTGTAGGAGACAACATACATGTAGTGTTCAGGTAAAAAAAAAAAGAAAAATAGTGGAAGTAAAGCTTTTTGGATTGATCAACTTATAAATATTTAGACAGTCTGAAGGTACTATTCCCTACTTAAAAATGCCATAGTGAGTCCTGATATGCAATGACTGTCACTGAGGACTCAGGCAGCAAAATGAGAAAACTAAGACAATGACGTATTAGAGGTTCCAAAAAGCACAAAACATATGTAAGTGAGAAAAAATAGACGAACCGCGAGATATGAACTTCATTTCTAGACTGAGTGCTTCTTGTTTTTGAAAAATGACAGCAAGTTTTAACCTTGTTCATTCAAATGCAGTGCAACGCAATGCAATTCATCCATCCACCATCCATCCATCCATACATACAATAGGCTCTACATGACACATCTTGTTCAGTCACTTGTGCTGTAAAATGTAAAAAGAAACAGACAAGAGAAACATGGATTCAAACACATGTCAAATCCAAAACATGCAGGAACAAAGTTTGAAAGTTCACAGATTAAAGCCAAGGAGTGTACAGGAAATTGGCAATGCATCCCATTAGACTCTGCTGTGAAATGGATAGGCAGAAGAGAGGGGAAAAAGATTTATACTAAGAGGAAAACAAATCTCGGTTGGCATGGAGAACCTATGTTCAGGGGTTAGGGCAAAGGCAGTGGTTTTTATCGATGAGTAAGTCCAAGAAGATGCATGTGGGTGCAGGACTGACGTCCTCTGGGGATGCTCCGTCTACTGCAGCGATATGGGGCTCAGACGGCGGATTAGTGTTTCTGCTCCATAATCAATTTTCTGTCTGGATCCCACTGCACACAACTCTAAACAACCACTTGTTGCTTGATCCTCCAAAATCTCTCTGTTCCTTCTGCTTATTTCTCCCCTTGGCCAATTTTGCTTCACCCTTTTATTTACTTCACCTTCAAACATACCAAAAACTCTGATCTTTGTCGCTCAACAAACACTCAACCTCAAGAATATTAATTTTTTGTTTCTCTTTTTCAGCTCCCCTCTTCAGGCCTTCCCTTTTAAATAATCTCTCTCTCATACGTGTATTAATTTACACTAGCTACTGTAGATTCTGCAAGGATTGCATTTCTGTGCAATACGGGGTACTTTGGAGTAAAACTATCATGGTGTTTCTACAAATGAAGAATTCAACCTTTTATAGAGGGCACACCATTAGCTGCATCTCACCCATGGGTCCAAGTCTGCTGCCATCTGCTCCAGTGCTTAGGGGTCATAATACAGGCTGACCAATCAATAACATATTACATGTTGGCACTGAGCACCAACCCTGGTCTTGACTTTCCTTGCTTATTAAAAGCAAGGCACACTAAAGTCCAAAGAGGAAACACAGTACATGTCCTACAGTCAGCACCACAAAAGACTAAAGTGAAATCAAAAATGTATTTTCTATTTGCCAAAAACAACATTTTCTATCAAGGTTTATTATATAGCAGCTTTTTTAAAATTAAACAAAACATTTTTCTGTGACTCTCACTTTAATGTCTACAGAAAAAAAAAGGTTTCTTTTCATTTTCAGTAAGTTACTCAATATGTTTGGAGTGTGTCTTTTAGTGTGTGTCTATATCTCAAGAAGTGAGGGAAACGTTTTACGATTAACGCTCGCCATGACAGTTAATGGCAAACACTGAAATACAGCGAGGTTGTAAGAGTGTTTATGCTCTGAGTTAAGGAGGCAGAAAAGTTTTTATATTACGTCTTAAATTGGCAGAGGACTATTCATTCTAGATTGTTTTGAACAAAAAGAAACAAATAAATGTGTGGTGTATAAACAGTGTCAAGTGTATTCTGGAGGCTGTGGGTTCAAGTCCAGGTTGTGTCAGGAAGGGCATCCGGCGACAAAAAATTGCCAGATCTACCACGCAAATGACATATAATGTGTAAATCAGAAGTAAACACGTTAAATATTGCTCTTCAATCTTCATGATACACATCTACTAGTCCATCTAACAAGGTTTAGTATAAGAGAAACACTAACTCTAGAAGCTGGGTAAATAAGAAACCTTATATAAGAGAGTAGGATTCTGCCCTGCTAATGACACAACTACTTATCTTACTCTGCGCTGCAGTAGCAAGGAAACCAAGATACAAGAACGCGCATTTAAAACTTCAGCCTGTCAGCCACTGTTTGCAGAGCTTTCATCGGATCAGGCAGACTGTCACCTCTACAGCACCGATGTGACTTGCATGTGATCAAATTGCTTCGGCGGCAAGGCAGGCCTGATGTGCCTGTAGAGTTTGTCAGATGTTTGAGGGAGGAAGTGACAGGTGAAAATGTTTGAGGAAAAGTGCAAAAATGCATGCGCTTAGGTGGATTTTATTATGCAACATGAATAGTAGTCACTCTCATGGAGGATGAATTATCAAGAAGCTGAGTACTGAGGAGTCACAGCTACAGTTGTGCTATAAAAAGGTGAGTATGAATCATACTTGGCAAGACGACTTACCTTGGTCTGGCTTCAATGTTGTTCTGAAAACAAGACAAAAAAAAGGGAGAGGGGAAGTGGGAAGGAGACAATGAAAATTGTAAAAACCTTAGCACAGATGTGAATAACTAAAAATAAGAATAAGCAATAAAAAATGAAACGAGTAAACATTGTCATTCATATTACCCACGAGTCTACAGATGGAGTGGCTTTAATTCTCACCAGTTAATCATCACTTTCATCCACCAGTTGTGCTCATGTATATTCATCAAGCGTTAAGAAGTGATTTGGAGCAAAGTAACAAATGAGCTTCAAACAATATTAATGGACTAGCTTTACTACAGAGTTGTGTTCGGGAATTAAGATTTTGCAGCATTTGATTTGAGGACATCTTTTGTAGACTATCAAAGCAGTATGTGATATAAATTATAAGCTATATGTGCTAAAAAAAAAAAGATTTAAATCAGACAACAAAAAATAAATAATAAAAACATGCATGTAAAGAAGCCAGATGAAATAAACTCACACTCTGTGGTTAGCATGCAACCTTTTTCAACTTATTTATTTAGCAAAAAGGCTGGGAGAAATGGACCAGACTTAAACCCTAGGTGAGCACTGAAACAATTCAAAATACATAAAACTCCCTGAGGTGCAGAAACAAGATGCTAATAGCAGCTTGTGCCTATATGGTGTCAAAGATTCTGATGGATTTGACTTTTATTGAATCATTTTTATCAAAGGAACAAGGAACCCACACATTTTAGATGTATATAAGTTGTATATTTTGAGCTGGAATACATCAGGGCATGTTATAGGAGTAATAAACCTTATTTTAGATTATATTAAAAAAAAGGCAAACGCTTAGCACAAATTCTAATTAAGTGTGATTTTACCAAGGGGCAATGCTCTGATGCATATTTCCTTTTCTAACTGTTAAAGAGTGTGAAGTAAAATTAGAACATAAACTATATCATGAGGGGGCAGATACTATAAATACAGTATACCAAGTATACAGTCCAGCTTTATTTAACAAATGGTAATGCTGCGGTCACACATTTACTAGGATTAAAAATGTTAAAAAACAGATCTACTTTTAACATTGAAGATGTTTTTTATATTATAAAGAATAAAATAAGGAGAAACGGGTGAATTCTGATTCTGTATCGAAAACATGGCATACTAAGATTCTACTGCAGCTCCTGCAAAGCTCATGCTAGACTTTAACATGAGTGCATCATAAAACATGGAGCATTGCCTCTTACCATATGGCCATACGCCACTAGTGCCAAGTTAATGGAGCCTGCACATCTTTCAAACTACCGACCAGCCAGATGCACTGCTCCCATTTTGCTGTGAATGTGACCACTGGTGTATTTGCAACAATAGTCCTTTGTCTTTGTAGAAGGCAGAGTTAAGGTTTCACACCACAATGGAAGTTGAACTTAATCGAACTGCCTTTTCAGGCTCACATGTAACATTTTTAAATTTTACAGATGTTTTGCTGCTGAATTTTAATACAATCCACACATCCACCGAACACTAAGCAAAATGTTAGTTTTTCTTTCAGCTGCTCCCTTCTTCAGGGGTTGCCACAGTGAGCGAACTATGAAAGATTTGGCGATTGTTTCACACCACATGCCCTTCCTGATACAACCTGGACTCAAACCCACAACCTCAGGATTATAAGACCTGACACTGACCTTCGAGCTCCCACAACCAGCAAACATTAAGCAAAAGTACCATTTACAAAACCAAATTTTTAATGTGGTGAAGCTTTCAATTTTCTCCCCACTTCAATTGTATTAGTTTTGTATGTAAACCCTGTGCAGTCTTTACACATAATGATTTCTTGCTTTGAACAGACTAGGCATATTTAGGAGGACAGATTACAGGAAGTAGCAAACGTGCAGTGTTTCAGCACAGATTATACTGTAGCACTGGACTTCAGCACTATGACAGCACCATGAAAAAATAAAAGTAAGAGTAGCAGAAGACACTGGCTCTTTGGCAGCACAGCAGATGAGAGGAGAGACAATGAGGAGGCTGCAGAGACAAGACTGGCTGTTAGCTGAACTGACTGCACGTTATACTCAAATTTAGTTTTCAATCCGAACAAATACAAGTCAGTAAGTTATCTATTCACTTAAACTGACAGACTCGAAAAACATTTTGTAAAATGAAAGTACAAAACTGACATTTTTTTTAAAGAAAGCTGTAAAATGTCTCCACACAAGCCTGCAAATATCTGCATTTTTGTTTTAATGTTGGTGTTTACTGATGCTTAAATGAATAACAAGATTTTCTAGTTATATTATATAAGGCACATTTATAAATGCAGTGCAACAATCTGCAAGAAACAAAAACATTTCAAAATAAAAGTGCACTGTATTAGTTCCGTCATAAATTCTAAAAACACTTTGGGAGAAAAAAAAGTTAATATTCAGAAAAATCTAAGGGTTACAGCAGTTTGAATATGAAGCAACAGTTTTCAGCCACAGTTGAGTCAGATATGGTACAGACTGACTAATGAGGTGTCTCATCATTTTTGGCATCCTTTATATCATAAATGGTCCATTGGTGGTGCCCATCCTTCTGTGCTTTTAAAAGTTAGATTCCACTTTTTGCATAGGCTTAAAGACTTTTGAAATGACTGAACACTAAGACAAAGCCTCTTAATATATTCTCCATCTGGCTCGTACTGATTTGTCAGTTTTCAAAATGCATTTTCAATCTTGCTGACCCCTTTTATTTTGCAACTGTGTCTACACTTGCATATTCCTGTGCTTACATTATTTACCCAAAATAATGTGTTTGCTTGATCTAAAGTGGGAATGGTTGCCTTCATTTAGTAACTGTTTCTCTGGCAAGATGTTAAAGGGATGTGATAAATGTTTTACATTGTAGCTACTGCATTATTGAAGTTTGCCATTACATTTGTTTGGCCTTGCTATGTTTAAAAAAATCTAACCGGTTTGCAATTAAATTCATTTTTGTCTTATAAAACCTTGAATCAGGTACCTAGGTCTCAATACATCCACCACCAACAAAACTGAACGCCTTTTTTGAGATATGCTCCTGCCATCAAATTCAAAACAATTTCCAGAAAAGTTATACAATTTCTTAAGGTTTGATATGTTTACGATGTCTCTTTGCGAATAAAATATACAACAGGTTTATAAAATTTGAAAATGGTTGTTTTTATTTCATTTTTACACAACTTAAAAAAAAAATCTGGGGTTGTAGTCTGCTGCAGCATTTGCTACTAACTTGAACTTGTTATATTGCTGCCACAACAGATGGAGGTTTAAAAAACATAGGATAATTTATGTGTTTGTAACTGTTACTGCATACTATTGGATTGTTTAACCCCCCCCAAGGTATTAATTTCGTAAATACCTTGACATTGTAATACACATTTTTCTCTCTGTCTGTATACGACTTAAATCCAGTAATTGGTAAAACAAATGAGTTGAACTAAGGTGTATATTGAAGAACTACGCTCTGCCTGTTTTCCACTTCCATTTATTTGTTTGATTGTGTTTGTTATGAACTACTACGTGTTGGACGAGATGCACTGCAGACCATGCACTTTAAAAAAGTTTTAACCTTTGCATACAAGACTCATCTTTATGCAACTGGAAAAACCCTACCCTAATCGCCACAGACATTGAAGTAAAGAAGCTCATTAAAACTCAGTGTGCCATTATAGTACCATCATACCACAGATTGAAAATGTAAATATGGCAGAAACATTTATGCTACAGTCAGTTATTTCTTTTAACTAGAAAGTGCTATGCATCTAAAATAAACACATTACATACATAAATTAGAAAAACATAGCTGCAGGTGTTGTACCAACAATTAACCTTCTTTTTGATACAACTCTTGCTGTCTTAGTACCACTTAAATTACAAACTTCAGATTTATTACTTTGGCACATGCTCAAACTGCTAATACATGGGGATTGTGTGTGCCACATACACACTGCAAGACACACCACTAATTTAATTTCCATATAAAGACTTAACTCTGACACAGGACCTTCTCCAGCGACCATCCATTTCCCAATCACATTGCCTATTGCTTCCTCAAGCAATAAAGAACACACGAGAACAAACTGGGCACCATTGGCATTCAATTAGCGCCTCTAATGAACCTGGGCCACTGTGGAATAATTTCTCAGAGAAAAAGCAATCTGCACATCAGCTATACCATTACCACAGCCTCTTTAGTCATGCACAGTATCTCTAGGGAATGCTCAAGTCTCCTCTCTTGACTGTGGTCACTAAAATAAAACGAGTGACAAATGGTCCAATGGGATATTTTAATTTGGGGCCTATAAGTAGTAAAAGCCTTCTCTGCGATTTTGAAAATAGACCAGCGGGAGTGAGGTGCTTAAGTGTTTGATAAGAGTGTGAGAACACGACTTGCCCTCTGCCACTGTTCACATCATTGCAATCATGAAAAGCAGCAGCTGAACTTAGATGACAAATGTTCTTTAGCATAAGGGAACTTTCACCAATGACCTAATGTGAAAAAAGATGAGAAACAATAAATCATTTTCTGTGTTCATAACAGCTCAATGTTTATAGGCAGTAAACAAACACTGAACAGTTGGACTCTGATCAATTTTGAAATTTTAAGAAAGGCTTCTTTCTTTGTCTTTGGGATGACTGTGGCTGAGTGGTTAGAGGAGTTGTCCTCCAGTGTAAGAGTTGGGGGTTCGATTGCACCAAAAGACATATGCCCAAGTGTTCCTGGGCAAGACACTGAAGCCCTCATTGTCTTCGACGTGTGTCCCATCGGAGTATGAATGTGATAAAGCGCTTATTATTCTTTGTAAAGATGTAGTAGAGTGCTGAATGAAAGGGTAAATGAGGGCACAGATTTCAGGTGCAGTCCATTTACCATTTGTCATGTTTTGTCAGTAGATCTGTCATGATGACAAATTTTGCTGGGTGATTAATTGTCTCAGAAATTATTGTGATAAATGATAATATTGTTTGAAATTTGACAATAATTAGTCATTATTGTCAAATTTAAGAAGAAATGTTGGGTAATTTGTTTTGCATGTAGTATGTTTTGTATGTAGTCCCTTTTTTTTGATCACCAGTATAAGACTGTTTGAACCGAAGGATGGATAGTGAGGGAGCGCACAGCGTGTCTCTTTAAGAAAAATGAGAGGGAGGCCCCTTGACGTGATATGGGCTGTCTCCCTTTCCTTTTATTCGGTTCTCAAAATGGTGGACGCTTGGTGTGGTTTGAGCTTTTTAGCACAGCATTTTTCACACCATGTTTTTAATAAAAAAACATTTTTTAAAACAGTAAACAAGTTTTCCGCTTCTTTTTTCAAAGAAAAAACAATTTTTTAGACAAAGGCACGGGTTTCAATTGTGAATTTTGGAGCTTCGACAAGACAGAGGTTTCATCTCGAGGTCGGCCTGTTAGCTTAGCTCGTAGCTTAGCTTCTCAGCTTAGCTGCTTTTAACAATCCAAAAATGTGATTTTAGATGGTGAAATTGATTTTAAAGAGAAAAGAGAAAGGGAGGGGTCAGTAAAGAGCACCGGAGTTGATCTTTTTGTCATCCAGTGTCTTCAGTAAAAAGAGAGAGACACGAAGAAACAATAAAGCCGATAAATGAAAATGCGGTCAATTATTTTCATTTGTCATGCGATTAATTGATTTATTGTTTGTTGCGACAGGCTTATTTGTCAGCACGCTGTTTTTTTCTGGAACTGCCTTTTGTTATCGTTTGTGGGTTTCCTGGCAATAGCACTGACCTATCCTGCTTCATCCAGTTGACACTACAATGACACTACTTTAAAACGACAGAAAATTCCACTTTTGCACCTTCAAAATGGTTGTTTAAGGCTATTGTTCAACTTCTTACTATTCACAAACCAAATCACAGTTTGCATTCTAGTAACCTCATCAATCTTTTCACACCTGTACCTCCTTAGGCTGTGCCTCCTCCCAGTTCTCTGCTGCAGATGACTGGAACCAACTGTAATGGACCTTAAACCTTGATTCATTTATTTCCCTTTTCTCTTTTAAAAGTTCGATACATTCACTAGTACAATCTCACTGCTTTTAGTTTTCAATGCCTGTCACTGTTCATATTGTTCACAATGCTTTTTTCCCCTCTTAATTGTTTATAGTAGCTTTTAAATATGTTAATTTATGCTGTTTGTGATGTGTCCTCTGTTTTTATCATTACTGTTTTATGTCTACTTGTGGAGCTGCCTTTTGAATAAGTCGTCCTTTTAAATGAGAACTGGTTCTCAACTGACCTATCTGGTAAAGTAAAGTTTACCATTATAGTAGTTTCTCGTTTATCACGGGGGTTCCATACCCTGCCCCCCACCCCCATGGTAAGTGAAAAACCACGAAATAGGAATACAGTAGTCCAAGTTCAAGTTCAGTAAACTTTGTCATAACATGTGCCGGGCTGCAATCACACACACTCATGACCTGCTACTCCCAATTTCCCTCCTTAAATAAACTATTTAAATACTGTAATATTTTAAATAAACAATTCATGCAGCATGGATTGTTTATGTAAAATATTACAGTATTTAAATTTAAATTGTAGAGAAGAGAAGTGCAGCAGGACATCAAAGAGTTAACCCTTCACAAAGCTGATACAGGAGAAATGTGTGCGTGGCAGAGAAGGAGATCATGACAGGCTGCAGGAGGGAGCTTCTCCCTGCACGTACGGGCTGCGCATATGGTGCAAAACCATTTAAAATAATTTATTTTAAATAAACAATTCATGGCTCATCCACTAATCAGCCAGTTGTGTCATGTCTAATCCTACTTTGAAAAACCGCAATATAACAAATCCGCGAAAAACGAACCGCTAAGTAGCGAGGGACTATTGTATTATTATTATTATTATTATTATTATTATTATTATTATTATTATTATTATTATTATTATTATCATCATTAAAGTGTAAAGCACACAGTCTTTTTAACTTTGTTGCATTTAGTCAAATCTTGGGGTAAAAAATAACCAAAACACTGCAGCAGGTTGCTGTTGAATTCTGTCTCATCATTAGTAAACAGCCATGACCAAATGTCACTGGAAGCCATTAATGGTTTAATTTAATCATACACAATATTGAAACCTTTCCAGGCTTATTTATGTATTTAATGATTTAGTTTCATGTGTTTTTTCTGCTACAGTTTAATCGTATCTTTCTCATTTTTCCAAAGAATGCTGGTATTTCAACAGTCTAGCCTGTTTCTTTACTTGAGGCTTATAATTAATTTACACATTAAGTTGTTAAGTTGTCATGGAAAGTGTTCCCCACTATGCCTATGCTGAGTGTTTTTTTTCGTTACAATGCAAATAATTTTATTACCTATCACTGTTCTGAAGCATTTTTATGTTTAGAGTATTTCTTTCCTCCAAATGTACCAAAGTACTGATCTGGCCACTCCCAATGTCCCTGCGTTTTTGATGGATTTGTTCTGCTTCTGAAGCCTAAAAATAGCCATTTTCATTTGTATTGAGAGCTTTATTGACTGCTGTAGGTTTCAGCAATGGCTTAAACGCAGGCACCACTCTTTGATTTAACATCAAAGCCTGTTAGCGAAAATTAAGGCAAAGCCCAACCTTTTTTTATAGAAGAGCTTTTGACTCAACAACCGAACTACATTTCATATCCTAAAAATTATATTTACACAGAATTTTACGTTTAACTTTTATTTAAATGTCATTGTGCTTCAATTAAAGCACAGTTTGAGAACATTTTTTATTTAAACAACTAAGTTTACCATGTGTTGATAATCAAAATATGGCACAAGAGCATTTCTTCATACAAATGTAGTATTTGGCTGGATAAATAGTTACGATTTTCACATTTCATTTGGAGTAAAACTGTAGAACTGTAACCGCACCTGAACTTGTATTAATTTGTCTGTTTGCAGCAAGTATAATCCTCACTAGGAAAAAAATCCTTGAAATGTTACAAAATGCATGATAACAAGGAACAAAACTTACCAGCTGCAAGTGTAAATGCTGCTAAAGTGCTTTTAAGAAAGGCAACGTGTTCATCCAACAAACAACATTTTGAGCCAAATCACTGGCAAATAATGACAAATTAATTATCTTAAACTGTAATCATAACCAGAAATAAAGTGTTTGTGTTTTGAACGCATTTCAAATTAGACAAAATTTGTAAATAAATTGTGGGAAGCTAGACGTCATGTTATCAGGAGTTCTGTAACAGTTCTCTTCTTTATGTACTTCAATTTGCAGACACTAAAATTTGGAATGCTAAATTTGCATCTATTATCTTTACCCGCTTCTTCCTTTTTGGGATGAGGGGGTCACTGGTGCCCATATCCAGCAGTCACTGTGCAAGAGGCGGGGGACCCCATGGACAGGTCTCCAGTCCATCACAGGGACACATAGAGACAAACGAGACAAACAACCATTCACCTTCTCACTCACACCTAGGTACAATTTACATGTATGTTTTTGGTGTATGGGAGAAAACCAGAGTACCCGGAGAAAACCCATGCATGCACAGAGAGAACATGCAAACTCCACACAGAAAAGTCCCGGGCCAGTATTTGAACCGGCTCTATCAACTGTGCCACCCATGCTGCCCGCACCATGCTAAATATGTAGTTCACAAAATGCAACAAGTGCAAAAAGAAAAGAAAAATTTTGCTTTCTCACCAGCAGTCTGTGGGATGGTTTAGGAACTGCTTCAAGGACCTCTGCTGCAGCTGCAGGTCCAACTGCCTCAGCCTGCTCCAGCAGGCACAGCTGGTGCGTGATGTTGTCCATCTCCTCCTGCAGCTTTTCGGTTTCAGCAGTGATCTCAGCTATTTTTTCAGCAGCGGATGCAGTAAGGAAAGCTTCTTTGAGGTCGACCAAGTGAAGGGTTCTCCTCTCCTCCAAGCGAACCAGTCTGCGAAGCTCGTCAAACTGACTGTTCACATATTCTTCTAGTTCCTCTGTCGACATCTATGATATGTTAATCAGACACACACGCAAAAGAGAAAAGACAAAAGAATGAGTGGGTTGGACACATTTTAATAGGGCAGAGAAAACCTTTCAATTTTACAAGACAGAAAGGAATACTGTCTTTGTGTTGGACCTACAATGAACTTGCAACCAGTTCAGTGTACTCCACCTCTTGCCTATTGGCTGCTGGGATAGGAACTATTCCCTCCTGTGGCTTGAAACCAGATTAAGCCCATACATAAAAACAAAACAGCAAGAAATACGAGATTCAACAAACTATAAAACTAGATGACTGTTGGTAAGAATCATGGATATGAACGCAAACATAAAGCAAGAAATCAAAACAAGGTAATAAAAGAAGAGACAACATGTTCAGTCAGGAACAAGTTATTTGTCAGGGCAACTTATTTCAGGAAGCCCACAGGTCTCTGTCATGCAGTAACTGATGGCATCGAGCAGATTATCTAATGGCAAACCCCATGAATCACATCTGTAGATGGAAAATTCAAAGGCTTTTTTTTTTTTTTTTTACTGCAGAAAGCCATCTGTTAGGCTTTCAAGATGGCTGAACTGCTTACCAAGACACATTTTTTCTGTCTTCCTGCTATTCCTTGGTGAGACTCTTTAGCTATGACTCATTAGTTAAAACCACCTGATAAACTTGCCCCTGCATGCATCCCCTCCCTCTTAAATGCCTCCATCTTAAAAAAGCTGTATCATGACATAAACAACCTTAGGTTCCTCGTCATGGTCTCTTCTCACTAATATGTTATAATTGTCTCAATACAAACATAATCTCCTCCACCCAACCCGTTCTCCCTGGGGCAGAACGCAATTCTCTTCCTTTCTGTGAGTTTCATCTAATTTCTGGCAGACTTTTTCTCCAGTGAAGCAAGGAATCATTGTCTTTACCAAGGTTGGCAGACTGACTGCCCCTAAGGGCCCAAAGTTTTATTATGCATTTGCCATTTCTGCACAAGCAATCAGATTCCACAAATTGCCCATTAATCCAAGTGCAAGAGGCAACACTTTCAAATTACTCTCTTTGTATGAGGCGAGAAAACTTCACATTATTCATTATGAATGAGACAGAAGGAGTTAACATCTAATCGGGGAGCAATGAGGGTTTTTGTTGTTGTTGTCGTCTTTTTAGCCTAAGCATTCAAGCCTTGAATATATCTCTATGAGATGAGGAACAGGCACTACAAATGTGTTGGACGAGCAACACTATTGGTTTAGTTGTGTAAAAGTTACCTGTAAATATGGTAAATTAGAAAAATAAGTAATGCTTCCGATCAGTCTGCTGGATTTCTTCGATAGATAAGTTCAAGTGCAAGTATGTTTATTGTCATTTCGCCACATGTGGTACATGAGGTGGAATTAAATTATGTACACAGGGTTCCAGTTACACCCAACAAGAGCAAAAATATAAAGTGTAAAGAAGTAAGGATCCAAGATACACACTGATATACGCTCAACATTATTTATGATTAAATTATGATTATGATTATTACCTGCAGTGTTCCCTCAATGAGGACTGAACTAGGCAAAAGGGTGTTCTCCTACTCCGCTCCTGTTTCCTGGAATACCTTACAAAAATAATTGAAGCTCTCGACCTTGACCTCTCTAAGTGGCTTTAAGAATCTGTTGGACTCCTGGCAGGGACCAATGCAGACATGTTCCTGTTTTTAGTTTTCTACATTTGCCTTAGAATCTAGCTGTTTTTGTTACCTTTTCCTTTTAGCCGTCCTATTTGTTAAAAAAAAAAAAACTGTAGTATGACTTTTTATAACCGTTTATTGTTGTCACTGTTGTCCATTGTTGTCATCATTCTTTGTTGAAATCAGGTCTCTCTTGTAAATGAGTCCTCGAGGCTCAATGGGATTTACCTGTCTAAATAAAGGTTGAATGAATGAAAAAAACAAACGCCAAACGTTACGCTAAAAGATCTAAGATATACGCTAAACATGAATAATAATGTAAAACCATAAGGTGTAACAACAGCAGACAGAACATGAGACTTAACTTTACTAATTGGCATTCATTCATAATGTACATGAATGTTTTTGTTCAGTGCCCTGAGATAAATTCTGTTGCAACTTAGTGCTATAGAAAGAAACTGAATTGAAATATTGAATTGAAATCAATTTTTTGCAAATAGTTTAATTTTTCTGACACTGCTTTAAGCTTAGGATGCAGGGGATGGTACAAACATTACAGAAAATCAAAAAACTTTTTTTGATGACAAAAATCCTTAAAGAATCTAATAAGTCAGACACTGTCCTAAGTTTTTACTGTAAATACCAAACTCAGTGTATAAACATTATCTTAGCAAAGTGTCTGTCTTTTTGTATTCAGAGGGTCCAGGAAAATAAAATATTCAGCTAAATCCTATACCATGAACAAATCATTTAAAAACAAAACTTTGCATGTTTAGTCCCTTCATCTATCTAGAGGCTCACAATTTCCATCACCACATATTTATTTATTTATATTTAACTGGGCAAGACCTCCTCAAAGCCCTACGACCTTTCAGGCATTCCCATGGCTTGCATCACAGATGGAGCTCGTGATGCCAGATCTTTGTGTTTGTTTGGAGAAGCCCTCTGTCATTGGAGCTTTCACTCTGAAAAATTGCGTCAATCACAAAGAAGGAGCATCCATGCGTAGTAATTACTCATTTGCATCGCTGCAAGCTGAGGCCACAAAATGAGGCCTCAGGAGAAACAAGAGAGCATGTTGCTTACCCTGGCAAAGTTATCGTAAGGACATGAAGGGAGGATGAATGTGCATAGTGCATACACTGACGGGAACGTGGATTTATTTGAAAAAAAAAAAAAAAAAAAAAAAGTCAAGACAAAAAAAAATAATTTATTTGCATTTTCATGTCATATTTTACTCTGGATGACTAAAAGTCCTCATAAGAGAAATATATGAGGTTGAAAAAATACAATATTTTTATCAGACACTTCAAATGACTGCAATGTTGCAAGACTTACAAACACTTCTAATTTTTGACTGATTATAAAGAACATTATTCTTGTTAGTGGATAAGAAAAATGGAAGTAAATGGTAAAATCATACATTTGTATTAGAAGCTACAAGGTTTAAAATTATTTTTTTCATAAAAGATTACCATCCGGTAGTGTTATTAAATTGATAAAATGCAGATGAAAAATGCAAATTATTTCATGAAATGAGTAATGGAATATTGTTTACTTCAAACAAAAAAAAAGTACTTAAAGGAAACATTTGGAATTATAAGATTTTAGCCAAAATCTTTGAATGATCTTCAAAATTAAGCTAGCTGTACTGTTTGTTCAGTTCTCTCTTTGAAGTGATACCTTTTTAAAAAGGCCTAAAAGGCATTAATAATACATTAGGAGTAAATGGATTTGAACTGTCCTTGCCCTTGGCAATGATGGCCCAGTTCCAGCAGAACACAACCCTCTTTTATTATCTTCCTCAAAATTAGATTTTTCAATTTAACGTTTAATGCAACAATGCAATAAATAAAAGGTTCTTTGAAGAACAATAGATTTGCAATAATATTTTATTATTTATTTTATTATTAAATATTTTTTAAGTTGACTTCAACGTGATAAAAGTCGAGTCAATGTCGAGTAGTCGATGTGACGTCAAAGGAACTCAAGACGTTATATCATATTCACAAAAAAACGTCATTTATTATTTACCAAAAAAAAGGAACAACAAAACATTAGGAGCATATATTTATGTTCCTAACATTTATCATACTGCAAATAGGTGACAGGAAAACCAAAACTATTATTAAGCTGCAGAAGTTAGTTTTATTTTAGCTATTCCACTAAATAAAATAAACCACCGCGGCGGTGGTGGCGGTGCGCTCCCGTTTTTATTTTTATTTTATTTAATGGATTAAATAAAATAAAAAAAAAAAAAGGGGGGGGGGGGGGCACCACCGGTGGTGGTGCACGGTGATGCATTCTACTACCGGCATTGGTGCGTGGTGGTGGATTCTACCACAAGCAGTGGTGCACCCCCGTTTTTATTTTCATTTTATTTAGTGGATTAAATAAAATAAAAACGGGGGGGGGGGGGGGGGGGGG